GCAGCAAGCGTAAGATCGAAGTGGACAAACACAAGCTCTATTTAAAGAGTTTAATCTGCAGGTTTTATCTGTGGAATGGAGTGGGAAGAATCAAAGGGGATTCCTAACTTGCATGACTGATTAGAGAGCTGAGACAGCAAGTAAGACAAAGAACTGAAAAGGTATCAGCTTAGGGAGAAGATGACTAGTTCAGTTTTCAACATGTTGCATTTGAGATGCCTGTAGGACATCCAGGTGGCGTTCTGAACGGGCAGTTGGATATACAGAATATGAAGATCAAGGGGCAGGTTGAGACTGGAGGTAGGATTGGGAGTCATCAGTAAATTGGCAATAGTTGAAGCCGTAAAAATAGATCAGGAAAAGTTTGGAGAAACATGGCCATTAAATTCAGAGCATGAACTTTTAGAGTCAGAACTTTAGTAGTTTGTATAGTCCTAGGTATAGTCCTCTGGAAAGCCAGAGTGGAAAATTCTCAATACAGAACAATGTCAAGTGTAGTAGACACTTCATTTCAGATAAGGGATTCAAAATCCTCATAGTTTTGGCAGTAAGAAGGTCCTATCTGACACTGAAATGCATAATAAGATACTGGTGGCAGGACTGAAGGGACTATCAATTGTAAAGATACACCAAATTGGAGGGGGGGGGAGTTGGAAGTACTCCACAAGGCCTAAAAGTTTTCATCATGTTTGTTCACTCAAGAAAAATAATCAAGTTTTAAAAAAAAATACAGAGGCTGGAGAGATCGTTCAGCAGTTGAGTGCTGCCTGCTCTTCCAAAGGTCTTGAGTTCAATTCCCAGCAACCACATCATGGCTCACAACAATCTAAACTGAGATCTGGTGCCCTCTTCTGGCCTGCAGTCATACATGCAGGCAGAACACTGTACATAATAAACAAATACATCTTTTTTAAAAGTAAAACTAAAAAGACAGATAAGATTGAGGCTGTTCGAGCAATACCTCCCTCCACTAACAGGCAAGGGGCCAAAGTCATTGGGGCAAGGTGGGGGAGGTGTGTGTCGCTTCTTCCTTCTTGTTTATTTGCAATGGATTTTCTTTATGTTTTCATTTCATAGCTTCCAGTTTCAATTACTGGGACACATTTTTCCTATTCCTGTACCACCCCTTTCCTGTTCAGGAAAGTGATTACTGATAGTTCGTTCTGTATAAAATGACTCATTCCATTACCTGCAAGGGGAGTCTCACATTTTTTTTTTTTTTTTTTTTTTTTTACAAGTGAATCAGATTAGAGAGAGGTCAGTGCCTGGTGAGGATAGATTTAGATTGGAACACGGTGCCTGGTGACAAAGATTTAGATTAGCAGTCAGTGCCTGGTGAGGGTGGGTTCAGATTAGAACACAGTACCGGAAGAGGGTGGATTCATTAGCCATGAGAGACCTCAGGCCTTTCTAAGACGATTGGGAATAAAATGTATTGGAACACTCTGTCCTAAATGAGCAGTCTTCATCCCCTCCCTGCCTTCAGGGCTTAAGGGGCTATGCAGAAGAGGAGGTGGGATGGATGGCATCAAGGAAATAGTGTCTTCCATACACAACAGATGGACACACATATGAACACACAGAGACTGTGGCAGCATGAACATGTCTAAGCAGATGCAGTCCCAGTGCCAAGAAAGGAAGTGGACACAAGTCCTCATCCCTAACCCAGACGCTTTCTCCAGTTTTCTCCAACGGCATCTCCCTGGGTCTATAAAGCACATGTAAGGGCAGGCCTCGTGCCTGGTAGTAGATATAAACAGACTCAGTGGAGGTTCCGTAGATTGATTTTGTCACATAGTCCTTTCTTTGAACATTTCAAATATCTCCCTGGTGCTTGCATGTTATGGTTTCTGGTTTGGGTTTTTATGAATTTTGTTTTTGTGTGTGTTTCTTATGCTGCTTTGTTGCTATTTTTATTATTACTTTCAGCATTACGGTTTGGCTTTTTCTATTTGTGTGTTTTCTGGAAAGAGAGAGAAAGAAGGAGTGGAGTCAGATAGGTGGGAAGGGTCTTAGAGGAGATAGGGGAGGGGAACCACAGTCAGAATATATCGTTTTAATTTTCAAGTAAAAATATATAGAGTACTCTAGGGGGTTAGTGATATGGCTTAGTGGTTAAGATAGTACTCCAGTATGAATAGTTGGTGCTACCAATTAAATCCATCTTTTTCTTAAGAAGGATAATTAAATGGAAGATAAACAGAGTGTTATTACCTTATGTTAAACTGGCATTATGTCTTTGCTGTAATTGTACATCCCGTACGTTGCAACGCCAAAACCTAGAATGTTTGTGTGGCTAGGAAAGATGACCTCTTGGCACTTTATGCTGCATGTGGTAGACCATGATGTTGAGAAGTTCACTGCCAATTTTAAAGAATGTAATTAAGATTCTGAGCTGCCTGGAGTAGCATTGCCCATACTGTTTTATGTGAAAATTACTGCACCTCTACTTTACAGATTATCAGATAATGTAAGTATACTAATAGATCTCAAAGCCCTTACAATAAATAAAGTTGAACTTGAGCTGAGGATGGTGGTGTAAGCCTTTCATCCCAGCACTCTGGAGGCTTGAGGAGGAGGCAGATTGAGTGCAGGAATTTGAAGCCAGCTTGAGCAACATAGAAAGGTAACAGAAAGTAAAATGCTGTCTCAACAACTAATAATTAATGTCTCAATTATCTTCATCCCCCTTTTTCCAAACTCTTTTCAACAGGACAGAACTTCTTTTTTTTTCTTTTATATGTTCGTCTACATATTTAGTATAATGCATGACTTAAAAAGTCTGATCAGTTTTTCAGAGATGGTACTTCTTAGAGTGTCCTTCATATCTTCTAAATGGAAGAGCTAAAGCACCCTTATTCCTTAAGCACTTTCTGTCTTATTCTGAAGAGTCAACCAGTCATATCCAAAGTCACTGAAATCAGTAACTGCTATTAACCTCCCGTTGCAAATGGCGAATTCATTCCTGGGCTCCTATGACCCATAGTTGCTGCAGATTTCCATGAGCTCTGAGTCAGCACAGCACTGGTGGTAGCTCTGGGAATGGTACAGAGACCAGACATGGAAGAAATAGTGACCACCCCCAACTGCAGCATAGATCCACAGCTAAGCACTGAGCCAAACTCCTGGGATCCAGCTTCAGAGAGGGAGGAGTAACGAACAAAAGGGTCAATACCACACTGGGAAAACCCACAGAAACAGGTGACCTGATCAAGTGGGAACTCATGGATCCCAGTCTGAGAGCTAGGGAACCAACATAGGACCAAACCAGGACCCCTGAACATGGGTGTATGCTAAGAGGGCTGGGCAGTTGATAGGGCCACTGGCAGTGGAACCAGGATGTATCCATAATGCACAAATGGACTTTGGGGGCCCATTCCCCATGGATGGCATAGTCCCTTAGCCCAGAGACATGGGGGAGGTCCTAGGCCCTACCAGAAATGACTTGACAGACTTTGATGATCTCTCATGGAAGGCTCAGTGCTTAGCTGTGGATCTATGCTTCTGTTTCCATCAGATACTGGATGAAGGCTCTAGGATGGATGCCTTATTCTTAAGTGTAATTTTTAACTTCAAGAGAATGATGAAACAAACACATAATAGTTGGCTTCCAAAAGACGTGTGTAACTACAGTAAAGTAGGTACTCAGACTAAGGGAATATTTATGTTAAGGACAGGGAATCACTGGGAAGCTACATGGGAGTGCAAGATAATAATCTATAAGACTGTGTAATCAAACTGCTCACTTTAAAGAACAATTTGCTCCCAGAGTCAAAACTGAGGACATAGGGCCAAGGTTCTCAACCTATGGGTCTTGACTCAGTTGGGGGTTGACTGACCCTTACCCAGGGGTCACATAAGACCATTGGAAATATCAGACATTTAGATTATGATTCACAGTAATAGCAAAATTTTAGTTTTGAAGTAGCAAGAAAATAATTTTTATGGTCACCACAACATGAATTAAAGGATCTCAGCAGTAGGAAAGTTGAGAGCCGCTGAGCTATGGGCTCAGCTCTTAGAGAAAGAAGGGTTATTAAGGCGGTGTTGTGGAAGACAGTAACAGTGGACTCACTGGAAATCTGGAAAGCCCCAAACAGAAAAAAACTCAGCCCTTAAAATATTTAATATTGTGCTTTAATCCTCAGCATCTTTGTCTCGTTCAAACTTGGACTCCCTTGAAGCGACACAGTTTTTGAATGCGCCATAATTAAATATTTGGGGAGCGAGTGAGAGAAAAGCATTCCTCGTTATTTGCCAAAATTGTGAGATGCTCTGAAATGGAATTAAACATTAGAAATACCAGCTTCTAACTGTGTTCTGTTACTTTAGTTTGACCCCATTTCTATGGGTTCTTAGGCTTCTTGTTTTAGCTAGTCATTAGACTAGCTGGCATGCAGAGTGATTCTATAAGTCCTTCAGCAGTCCTTCAGCAGTATGCACTTATAAGATGGCAGCATATTTCCTACGGTCAATCACTTGTCCTCTAGCCTTAGGATGTGGTCACCTCGTTGCTCTTCAGCCTCTATCCACAATCACCATTCAAGTTTGTAGACAGAACACCGGTCTGACCCCATCCAGGCAGTTCTGGAACACTTACACCATGGAAATTGTTTCCTATTTTGTTCTCTGAGCCTGGAACCACATCAAAGTTCCTTCCTTTGAGGTTATTCAGGTCGAGATCAGTTTTAGAAAAGGTATTTGCTTGTTGCATATCTGCCTGACACATTTCCAGTTCAATGAGCCTGCCCTTTCTGTACTGGCTTTTGGAAAATTCAAAGTTATTTCAGATGTATCTATTAATTGCCATAGCAAGCAAGATATTCACTCTGATGAATGTTTATGTGAAATCAATTTTGAGTATTAAAATTGCCCATGCTTAATAGTTAAAGATGCAATGCTAGTGTTATGGTGTAACTTAAAATAATTTTCCATTTGTTTGGAAAGTCTTAACTAAAGCAATAAATCAAAACTAATCCAGTTGAAACATGGCATTTTCTATACTTACCTTACAGGGGAGATACCATGATCATGAAAGTGCTTTTCCCAGGGCAAGCCTCATCCACTGCACTCTGGATGTGCTGACCCCTTTGATTTCTCCAAATGTGGGAAATTTGAATGCATTAATTTGTGGCACTGGGGGACTGCATTCCTGCTCTCCCCTGAATAAGATAAAGTAAATGTGGCACGTCTATACATTCTACAATATATCTGTGCCCACATTTTTATTTACATAAAAATAAAAGAAGACCTACAATTGCAAACTGAGAGATGTCTCAACATATTTTAATGTAAAGGTAAAAGTTACTTCCGGTCTGCAAAAGACAAAACCACTGTTCTCCCTGCACTGAGTCAGGCAGCAGGTAGGTGCTTGTCTGTGGAGTTTTTAAAAAAAAGTTCATCACGTGGATTTCCACTCCCAAATTATCCTCAGTACTGCAGTTAGCAGTCTGACATATCAATTACTATTAAAAGGCTAATTTTTAGTTGAAATAAAGTTGCAAGTCCATAATCATGACTACCATATTGTATCCTAGATCTTTGCTATGATAAATCTTTATTATAAGATGTGCTAAATGGAAGATTTTATTATATTGAACAATGCCATCACACTGATAGGCTATCATGGTTTATGAAGATCCGTGGTCCTCTATTTATTCTTAATTTGAAATATAATTCATGACAGCAAATTTAGAAAATAGACAAAGTAATTTGTATTAAGGAGGGTGAAAGATTTGTTATTTGCCAAATCATATGTGTATATGCCATTAGCTGTATTAGTATTAACCAACCAGATGTAGTGGGTCCTTTCCTTGCTAGGTAGGCATGCCTGCTATCCTCTGTTTGGATGTGTATCTTAGGATTAGTCCCTGGCAGAGGTGATCTGTATGCCAGTTCATCTGGACCCATTGTCGTGATTTTGAGGCCTATCTCTTTTGTTGGTGTATTCTAACAGCTCACACACAGTTTATTGTCATTGCTCAGAGGCAATCTAACATTTGTGTCATAGTTGCTCCCTTTCAAAGCCACACTACACTTGACACAGGAGTTGGATTTTAGGAACCCCAAATGGCCCTCTGAACGTTGGGAGGATCCCAACTTGGCTTGTTTCCACACAAGATCAAAGAAAAGGAACTTTTGACTGTACAGGTATCAAGCATCTTTTTTTGGCAGAACATTTCCATCCCTTAACAACTTGCCTAAATTACCTTTTCTCCACCTTCCAGACTGGAGTGGAAATAGGATGATGTTTTGACATCTGGAGACAGGTAACAGTTTGAAGGCTGGTTTCTGATCTTCACAAATAAGTTCAAAGAAATAATGGGCATGGAAAGAGATTCGTAGGCCTACCATAAATTAGCACCAGTCTCCTTAATGTACTTGGGGACTATTCATTACATGGAAACAACATGATGCCTGACCTTGTAGATCTGGTCCCAGACAATGTCTTTGAAGTCACTTCATTCTTGTTCCTACTTCAAGTATCTTAGACATGTGTCTTTATATAGTCCTCTGGACGGTAGGGACCATATCTGAATTCCTCCTTGTGTTTTCTAGCGCAGAGAACTCTGAATATTGAAAGATAGGTCTTACATGGAGGGGGGGCTCATTAAGAATTTGTATATGAAATACTAACTTATGTTGTTTCTCTTTTGATTATTCATTGCAAAAAGATTGCATGAATTCTTGTTTACTTTAAGAGTTTAAAAATAAGTACGCACAATAAAACTAAAACCCTCCCTGTGCATTGTGGGCAGTTGCAATGTGGTACATAGCTCTTTTTTGTTTGTCGGTTGGTTGGTTTTGTTCTTGTTCTTGTTTGTTTGTTTTTAGACAGGGTTTCTCTGTGTAATTCTGGCTGTCCTAGAGCTCCCTTTGTAGAGCTCAGAAATCTCAAACTCAGACATCTACTTACCTGTGCTTCCTGAGTGCTGGGATTAAAGGTGTGCACCAGCATGCCTGGCCCATAGTTACATTTTACACTTACATTCTTTATTTTAATCCTATTTGTTTAAAAGTGCTGGGCTTTCAACACTTATAGTTACTGGACATATAACACTAGACGCAATTTAGAATTTACTTCTACATAAAAGTTTTTGGTAACAATTAGAATTTATGAAATGCTTTTTAATCTGCAGAATAAGCATTGTCCTTTCCATCTCGCTATTGAATGTTGCATGCATTTAACTGCATTTTAAAATACTTATAATTGAATGGCCTTTGTCACACTTTTCTTTGTTTATTTTTGTATATGTGAATATATACATGTACTCATGTGTGTCAGCCAAAGAAAGCATGCAGAAATCAGTTGTTTCCTTCCATTATGTGGGTCCTGGAGAATTGAACTCAGCTTGTCAGGCTTGATGGCAAGCTCCTGTACCCACCAAGCCAACTTGCATCCCCTTTAATCCAAATTTTACTATTACATTCCAAAAAGAATAGCATTAAATGTTGCTCCCACAAAGAAATATTCTATCTTAATGTAGGCATAAACATAACAAAATAGTGTAAAATATACTTGGCAATTTAACAAGCATTGAGCATGTGATTAATGCCAGATTCTGTGCCAAACACACTGCATCCAGACTTTCGACCTCTGAAAATGGGCAGATGAGACCCATGGATGTGTTCCATTCAGTATGTCACCCCACAGATCCCAATCCAATCTGCCTTCAGTTTTTACTTTTATACCTTAATGTAGCCTTTCTAAAACTGGGCCCCAGGCAGGGAAATCTAGCCATGACTTTCCTGAAGGGTCCGGGCCATTCTCATTATGGTCATTACAGTAAGTCTCCATCTTAATATTTCTTCTATGACCCATCAAGCAAATTCAGATTCTTCATCAAAAAAAAAGAAAGAAAGAAAGAAAAAAAGAAAGAGAAAAATGATCAAGGAAAGGATCATTTCAGGTTCACAAACACGCACACACACACACACCACAAAAACACACAAATATTCACCACACCTCCATTTACCACACCTCCACCGAAGGCAAATATTATTTAATATCCTAGTTATTGTGAGAATAAAAAGGTAGTAAAAGGTCAGTGGTATCTGGATCATGATATATGATCTGTCACTCATGGTTTTAACACTCAGTCAGTGGAAAAACTGAGCACCTCAGTTTCTGAAAGTATGACAGTGTGACTTTAAGTGTACTTGGGACAAGCTACTCCAGGGGCTCAGTGATTACTGACTTTTCCAGCACTGGCTCCCACTCTATTGATAGAGACGCACACACACTGCAGCTCCCATCACTGGTCTTGCTCACTTGTTTCTATTGCTCTGCCCTGCACACAGATGTGTGTTTCCAGGCACACATCTGTACGGTTCTCTGCAGACTCATTCTGTCCTCTCTGTACTGACAACCACTGGTCTTGCAAAGCCTAAGCTCCAACAAGCTGGACCATTTGGTGAAACAGGGATTTTTCTTCAATGTTTGCTTATAGTTTGTTTGCAGAGCATGGAACTCAGCCAGACAACTTTATCCTTTATCCATGAGCAGCAATAACCTATATTTGTGGTCAAGTAGAAAGCACAGGTTATGGTTTTCCCCCACAAGGCCTCTTAGCCCTGCTAACTCATGCAGCCTGGCCAGAATGTCTACCCATCAATACATTACACAGGCTATGTATACCATACACACTCAGCACAAACCTTAAGCTCATTATAAAAGCACACTGTTATTCAATCCATGTTTTCCTCCTGCCTCTGGTAGACCCTGATTCAAGATGAATGGCTTATCAAATCTGATGTATAAATATCCTGTTGACCATCAGGATGAGGTCAGGATTAGAATTGTTTCCTAGATGTTGGGTTGTAAAGGCAATAGGAGGAGATAACCCTGACTGGCATGAATCTGTGAGGGGCACAAGGAAAACTGGACAGAAGAGTCGTGTTCCTGAAGGACAGTGAGGGGTTCAAAGAACACAGCTCTACCTGGGACTTAGACTGTGAACCTTGGCAGTGGTTATGGTTCTGGGTGCTTAGCATGTACCAGGCCCTGAGTTCAATGATAAGAATAGACACACATACTTATGCGCGTGTGTACGTGCGCTCGCGCGCACACACACACGCACACACACACACACATGCACACATCACATTACAGATAATAAGGCTATGGGAAGATAAGGATCACTGTTTCCCTAACACACACACACACACACATGCACACACGCACACACGTACAGATTGGAGAGGTTTGTGTGGGAAGAAGAAAGAAGCAAAGCTCCTTAAAAGTTTTCATGTTGGCAAGGATGGATCAATTCATGATGAATTTTGAGAGTAGACTTGATTCATACTTATGGAAAAACAGCTCATACCAAAAGCCCACCCCAAAACCACCAGTAATTTTTGTTCTCAAGTTATCATGGTTATATTTCTGTTTTTGATTGTTTGTTAAGACAGGGTTTCTTTGTGTAGTTTTGGCTGCCCTGGAACTCACACTGTAGACCAGGTTGCCCTCAAACTCATAGAGATCCGCCTGCCTCTGCCTCCTGAATGCTGGAATTAAAGGTATGAACCACCACCACCACCTGGCCCTATATTGACTCTTAACATGTATTTTAGAATTTGACATGCATCCCCCAATTGCACAGTGCACTTTAGTCAACTGTGAAGCCCTGATGTTGTTTATCTCTTCATAGGCCACGGGTCATTTGTGCCTCATTAACTTTGTGGTGGATTCTTCACGTGCAGCCAGCAGATCATTGGTGAACTTAGACATTTGGTATTACAAGAGATGTTTTTAATATTTTTCTTAATTATTGATAGACTATGTGATCGTTTTCAGAAGACTCATTTGGGTTTTCAGAGTAAAGGATTAGGTATTTCCACATAATGCTATGTCAGTTTCCTATAATGAACCATTTCATAATGTTGAAGTGTTTTTCTGCTAGTGGTGTGGCACATACTACTACAGGGTATTTTAATGGATTTAATTCACAATAGCAGTTTGGGGAAATTTTTGTGTCTATATATATATATACTTTGATAAATCAAAACTGAAATAATTATCTTTATTTGTCTGCATTCAGGATTCAACATCAAATCATAGTGATGGTAGAAAAAAGTTTGGAAACATAATCTTTTATTATTCCCTAAAATTATTTTTCAAAATCAAGGCAAAGTAAGCCTAATGTGGTTGGACCAATCACCAACA